AAGAAATGGTCTTTTGTAATGATTTTGTGAAATAGTTAACCTAATCATACTGTAAATCTTTTTGGTGATTCAGTGTGTTATTAAAGACCGGCTCTTTTCTAATGGTGTTTGGCTTGAGCTGAACTTAGCAAACAGACTTTTTCTTTTGTTTTATGAAGCAACTTTATCTTTTTTCCCCTGTTTTCTTTGTGTTTATTGATTTCACCATTTGCGATGACTCTTTTCTTATGAGAAGTTATTTTATTAACCTTGTCTTTTTTTTTTATAAATTCATTCTGGTACCAGTCTTGTTTGCGTTTAAAGTGCTTTGTAAATAACATTTCCAATGATGTTGACAAAGCAATATGTCAGTTAAATTTCCCTTTATAGATCTGAACTCTGGAGGAGTTTCATATTTCATAATAAAGTTGTTTTTCCTCATTTATTAGATGAAGGTGGAACTACTTCMCTTATGTCCTGTACGCATATGTCCTACACAACAAGTGATGGATGGGTAAATAAATAATACAGAAGGAGGAGAAACAGAAAAAAATGAAAGGACAGCCTGTTTATTAATGGATGGCCTGAACCAAAACAGATGGACTGGGGGATAGGAGGTTTAGGAGAAAAAAAAGGATCTGGGCATGTAGCTGTCTTTAATAATAGAGAGAAAATGGACAAATAAGAGGTCAAATGAAATGTACAGCTCAGATATGGACACACATCAAACAACAGCTTGGCAACAGCAACATCTTAAGAGGTGCTCTTCACTTTGCTGCCTGTACTTTTRCTCTTGATATGTTCATCTTATATGTACATGTGGAGTTTTTAAGTGTACTTGTTTGCTTTTAAGCCCCATGAGTATTCTTCCAACTTCATCTCTCTAGGAGCAGAAAACAGCCTAGCAAATAGTAACCCCATCATTTCAAAGTAGTCAGTTTGTTCTCTTCATTTCCTTTTCCATGTTCTGCTCTCACACTATTCTGATTTCTATGAATCTTTTAAAGACACTAATTACTACTTTTGTTATCAGAATCTGCCTAAAGCTAGTCATATCTCTCCAGTCCTTCATTCTCAGTTCTGTTCTTCCTTCCTCCCTACCCCCAGGAGACGTTAAATCACTCTTTTTTTGCCACTCTTGCCTCACTGGACTTGTAATGGGGATTAAGGGCTAATTGAGTCTTAATTGAATAACAGATTAGGACATGTTCACAAATACTGTCTCCTTGTATGTTTTTAGTCTTCATTGAACTTCTGCCAGAAACTGACAATCACATGTTTCCCCACAGCAGYCTTATTAACCTGCGTGCATTTTCAAATCTTGGTTGAGCAGTTCTGGGCTGAATAGCTTAATTAAGAACCCATAGACAGCTAATTGGTATTCCTTAAATAGATTGTTAATGGGTAATTGAAAGCATGAGCTCAGTCATTTATTACTTTTGGTTTTAGTTCTTCAGCTTGGTTGCCTAATATATTCATCTTACAGTTTAGACTGCTGGAGATTCTCATATATTCAAAACATGGTAATTTTAGCAAGTTGAATAAACAATATATTAATACATATCWATCTTTGATGTATAGTTTTTGAAAGTGTTTCACTTTTTATCTAAAGATATTTCTCTATAAAAGTGTAAAAACCTCAAGATAAAAATGATTTTTGCTTGGTTGAAATTGCTTGGATTTTTTTATGGGACTGTATGTGAACATTCTTACTGTTCCACATTATGCGAGAAGCTTTTTTTTTACTAAGGAGGTCAAGCAAGTTCACAACTCTAAGAACATAATGTACTGAAGTGCAGACAATGAACAAGCCACCAC